AGCTTATTTATTGATATCCCCGATAAGCTACAAATATGTACATATACATGAGTCAAAATAAACACACAAGAGGGAGCCTTCACAAAGGTTGCTTAGGAGAAGTCTCAGCAGTCGGTAGAGCCCCAGAAAGAGAAGGCACCGGAGGGGGATCATTTGGAGCCTCAGTACTGGACAGAACCCTAGAAGGAGGAGGCATCAGAGGTTGATCATTTGGAGCTTCATTACGCGGTACAGCCCCAGAAGACGAAGGCAATAAATGCCTTTGGAACAAACCCACAAATCTCTGATGATCAAGTAAAACCTGACCATCAGTTTCCTTCATCTGGTCAAGCTTCCTCTTCATGTTTGTAGCATAGTCATGTGCGAGCCGGTGCAACTGTTTATTCTCATGCTTGAGCCCTCTAATCTCCTGTTTGAGACTCATCACTTCAGCCGCCAATGATTCAACTTGGCGGGTTCGAGCAAATAGGCGTTGGGCCATATTAGACACAGAACCTGCACACTGAACACTGAGAGCCAGCGAATCCTTAACAGCTAACTCATCAGACCGTTTGGAAAGTAGTCTGTTATCTTTGGGAGTGAGAAGGTTCCTGGCCACCACCGCAGCGGTCATATCATTCTTCATCACGGAATCCCCAACGGTAAGAGGACCAGTAGGGGAGACGAAGGATGGGCGCCATATGTTGTCTGGAGAAGGCGGGGCTGCCTCTTCAACAAGGTTCAAGTCAAAACGACGGTCGGAGGGGCCAGACATTTTCAAAGGTGTTGAAGAGAGAAGAGGTCGGACAAATCAAGATCTTAGAAGTGCAAGAATGAAGCTTCTACTGGTGGAGATTCAAGTGTGCTTTGGAACTTAATGCCAGCCCTATAAAAATCTGCACTCGACGGAGCTTCAGAAATCGAAGAGGCGCCTGCTCAGAAATCGAAGAGGCGTTTGCTTTCTCAAAAGCTGGGCTGCTTAGAGATCACGAGGGTTGATCTCAGAAATCGAAGAGGCGTTTGCTTTCTCAAAAGTTGGGCTGCTCAAAGACCACGAAGGCCGATCTCAGAAATCGAAGAGGCGCTCGCTTTCTCAAAAGCTGGGCTCCCAGAGACCACGAGGGCCGATCTCAGAAATCGAAGAGGCACCTACTTTTCCAGCCTTGTCAGCACCTGTCACACGCACACTCAGCTTTGCGGAAATTATGGGCATTCTGTCGAAGACTTCTGGGGAAGTAGAAAACACATGAATCTTACTGTTCAATCACCCACTTCCCACACGCAACAATAGCTCATGGGTACCACAGATAACTTTGCCAAAGTTCTCTGCCAAAGTTGAGCACGTGAAGCTTGCAGCTCCCACTACATCGCTCTGACCAAGAAGGGTAAAAGAATAGCAAAGAAACAGCACTAACAAAGTTTAGACCCATAAATTTTGAAGGTCTAGCTACCATATTATTACCCACAAGGGTAAAGGAACAGTACCACTGCTGGATAATTGGAAAGTCCCTGTGTGTCAACCTCTGTGCTTCGTGGCAAGGTAGACTAGCAAACATGCCCAACCTTTACTCACATTCGAGAAAACACTCCCAATAAGATTGCTTGCTCCAAAATCGAAGAGGCACCGTCCTCCGAATCTCGAGAGCCAGACTCCCAACATGACTACTTTTTCTTAAAAATCGAAGAGAGGGTAAAGGAACAGTACCATTGCTGGATAATTGGAAAGTCCCTGTGTGTCAACCTCTGTGCTTCGTGGCAAGGTAGACTAGCAAACATGCCCAACCTTTACTCACATTCGAGAAAACACTCCCAACAAGATTGCTTGCTCCAAAATCGAAGAGGCACCGCCCTCCGAATCTCGAGAGCCAGACTCCCAACATGATTACTTTCTCAAAAATCGAAGAGACACTGCTCCCCGAATCTTCGAGAGCCAGACCCCCAGCATGATTGCTTTCTCAAAAATCGATGAGGCATCGTTCTCCGAATCAATCGAAGAGGCGCTCGCTTTCTCAAAAGCTGGGCTGCTCAGAGACCACGAGGGCCGATCTCAGAAATCGAAGAGGCACCTACTTTTCTAGCCTTGTCAGCACCTGTCACACGCACACTCAGCTTTGCAGAAATTATGGGCATTCTGTCGAAGACTTCTGGTGAAGTAGAAAGCACATGAATCTTACTGTTCAATCACCCACTTCCCACACGCAACAATAGCTCATGGGTACCACAGATAACTTTGCCAAAGTTCTCTGCCAAAGTTGAGCACGTGAAGCTTGCAGCTCCCACTACATCGCTCTGACCAAGAAAGGTAAAAGAATAGCAAAGAAACAGCACTAACAAAGTTTAGACACATAAATTTTGAAGGTCTAGCTACCATATTATTACCCACAAGGGTAAAGGAACAGTACCACTGCTGGATAATTGGAAAGTCCCTGTGTGTCAACCTCTGTGCTTCGTGGCAAGGTAGACTAGCAAACATGCCCAACCTTTACTCACATTCGAGAAAACACTCCCAACAAGATTGCTTGCTCCAAAATCGAAGAGGCACCGTCCTCCGAATCTCGAGAGCCAGACTCCCAACATGACTACTTTCTCAAAATCGAAGAGAGGGTAAAGGAACAGTACCATTGCTGGATAATTGGAAAGTCCCTGTGTGTCAACCTTTGTGCTTCGTGGCAAGGTAGACTAGCAAACATGCCCAACCTTTACTCACATTCGAGACAACACTCCCAACAAGATTGCTTGCTCCAAAATCGAAGAGGCACCGCCCTCCGAATCTCGAGAGCCAGACTCCCAACATGATTACTTCCTCAAAAATCGAAGAGACACTGCTCTCCGAATCTCGAGAGCCAGACCCCCAGCATGATTGCTTTCTCAAAAAATCGAAGAGGCATCGTTCTCCGAATCTCGAGAGCCAGATACCACAGACCACTTTTTCAAAGTGCTCTGACAGAGTTAAAACATGTGAAACTGGCAGCTCCCACTACCGTGCTATGACCAAGCAGGGTAAAGGAATAGCATTACTACTTGTTAGGGAGACTCCTATATATGTCGACCTCCATCCCCAACGGACAGGCAGACCTGCAAAAATGCTCAACCCTTCATCATATCTGAGAGGGCACTCCCAACGAAGCCTTTCGAAAATATTCAGCTTTCTTTCCCCCGATAATACCTCTGCAAACAAGCTATACTAGAGCAAGAATATCTCATATCATCAGGGTTAAAAGCAAGAGTATCCCATATCATGCTTTTTCCCTGTCTTTTCCTTTGGCCTTGTTTTTACCTGCAAGACAAGGAGAAAGAGAGCAATCAGTCAGCACTTGGAATCAAGCTTCCAGCCAGGAACTGACTGCCTGGAACCCCTTACCTGATTACTTACCTGGCATTGCTCTCGAGTACTCATCTTCAACATCTTATGTTTCCAGGGAAGATTCCGCATCTGCTTGAGGAACAGATAGGGCAAGTGCGAAGGATACAAGGAAGCATGTGGAGACAAGCGTAACAGCACACGTGCCGATACATCCATTACTCTGTCAAAAGCAAAAGTATCCCATATCAGCAGGGTGGAACGTACTCTAGATTTGATGGACTTGTTTTGACCCTCAAATTCTTCAGTCGGCCTTATACTCTGGAGGAAACCAGAAAACCCTCCAGCTCAGTTCAAGAATAAGCCTGTGGAAAGTTACTTCTTCAAAAGCAAAAGTATCTCATATCATCTCTTCTCATTTTTTCTTCTCTTTATCCTTCATGCTGCTGCAAGATGGGGAGAAGGTGAACAATCAGTCGGAGCTCTGATTGCTTACCTTGTCTGTCACCTCTTTCAGCAGACCCCCTAGCTCGGCGACTTGGGGGACTCCTACTACATGGTTTGTATCGCGCTTGACCAAGCCTGAAACTACAAGTAAGCTTCAAGTGAAATTGATACATTACCTTGTGCATCTCCACCAGTTAAAGATACCACCCCTGGATGGAGGAAGAGTACTTCCAGAGAAGATGCCACATCTACCTATGAGACAGATAAGGCAAGTCAAGACGACACCACACTCCGATACTTAGAAGTTTCGTGATTACGAGATCATTCTCCCACAATATTTCCTAATGTCATTTGTACTAAATCATTCACTTGTACTCACTAAAGGAGAGCTTGAACCTATGTACTTGTGTAAACCCTTCACAATTAATGAGAACTCTTCTATTCCGTGGACGTAGCCAATCTGGGTGAACCACGTACATCTTGTGTTTGCTTTCCTATCTCTATCCATTTATATACTTATCCACACTAATGACCGAAGCAATCTAGCGAAGATCACAAAAAGCGACCGTTTTCGCTACCTAAGATCTATCTTGCAAGAGAACGGAGAATTAGATGGAGATCTCAACCATAGAATACGAGCTGGATGGATGAAGTGTAAGAGTGCATCCGGCGTGTTTTGTGTGACCGTCGTAGGCCACTGAAGCTCAAGGGAAAATTTTATAGGACGGCAATAAGGCCAGCGATGTTGTATGGTACAGAATGTTGGGCGGTGAAGCATCAACACGTACACAAAATGGGTGTAGCGGAGATGAGGATGCTTCGTGGGATGTGTGGGCACACGAGAAAGGATAAGATTGGGAATGAGGATATCCGAGGTAAAGTAGGAGTAGCCGAAATTGTAGGAAAGATGAGAGAAAATTGGCTCCGATGATTTGGACATGTGCAAAGAAGGCCGACTGACGCTCCGGTTCGAAGATGTGACTACGGGACAGAGGTTCAGGGCCAAAGGGGTAGAGGAAGACCTAGGAAAACTTTGGAAGAGACTCTAAGAAAAGACTTAGAGTACTTGGATCTAACGGAGGACATGACACAAAACCGAGCGCAATGGCGTTCTAGGATTCATATAGCCGACCCCACTTAGTGGGAAAAGGCTTTGTTGTTGTTGTTGTTGTATTGCAGTTCCTGCTAGAATAAGAATAAATTCACAAAATGATTTGCTTATTTTGGTAAGAGATTTAACAAATCAGGTATAATTTATGACAGTAAATGCAAGTACGGATAAAACACTTTAAATAACTAAAAGTTTTACAGAAAAGCTTTTCAATCTAATATCATCCAAAACTGTGTTCTGAAACGAAAAACAGAAGCAAATCATATATAGCCAAAATTACAAAGAAAGATTTCATATTTTTCTAGATAAGTCGTATTCCCTTTCATTATCTATGATAAACATTGAAGGTTATATCATGCCAATTCCACATTGAAAGTTTGCATTAGCTTTATTTTACAGAATATCAAGAGCCAAACCTGCAGAGCCGCTGAACATGCTCCAAGGTCCCAAACTTTGAAGTTCTTAATAGCAATCTTTTCATGGCTTGGTAGCTCATATAGCATGACATCGCCCATGTTTGTTCCAACTGAAATCATAAAATCGCTTATTACTAAAAGAGAAGTATTATCCAACATTTGAAACAATGACATAAAAAAGACATACAAATACAATAATTCACAATGAGTGGAATTGGAGGTCAGCTCTCTAGAGCTTACCAAGAAGTAAAATTTGTTGCATTGGGTGGAAATCCATACTCTTGACAGTTGAACCTGGACGTAAAGTCATAACAACAGACTTGGGCAAGTCATTAGAAGAGTAGGAACTCTGACCATGGCTCTGATTAGGATACGCAACAGGCAACATATTTACTGGCAGATTATTGGCCTGTTAGAAATTGTGTTAATATAGAATCAATTACATAAACTAAGAAGTTGAAACCTGAAATTTTTCTGTAAAATAAAGCTATACAAATTTTTGGCATCAAAGCATGTTCTAGTATTTTGGATAATCTAAACTTACCTTTTTGTTACTGGTCTTTTAGGGAACAATTCCGCTACCTAACTTTTATGGAACAATACATTAAGGATATGAAATACATTTATTTCAGTAAAACTGATATAATTTAATATTACACAGTCAAAAGAATGTCATAAGAAAGAAAAACTTCAAATTTAGCAATGTAACTCAGACTCCCATCAGATAAATCAGAATGTGCAAAAATTAATGGATAGATTTATACCTCATCTGTTACCTCGAAAGGTCTTGATCTCTTCAGAACGTGCTCAGAATCAGCTGTTTGATAGTCCATAGTTGGGTTACTGGTTGGAGTCGTCCTAGGGCACTTGATTGCAGCCATGTCATAAGCTTCTGCAGCTTCCTCTTGGGTGCCTAAAATTCAATTCAAGTTTAGACTTTTGTACGAAACTGCATTAATTAGCTTTGCAAGAAAGATAAAAACTTTGCAGTAAAATATAGCCTTTAATAAGTGATTTTAGCTGGAAAGTCTTTTTCTAAAACAGCCTTTAAAAAGTTCACTGTTACAGTTAAAAGAAGACATTTCATCAGCATTATAAAAAGTGTGAGAACAGAGTTGCTGTAAAAATAAGTCTTTTGAAGAAGTGCTTAAGCAAAGAGCCTTATGGAATTTAGAAAATGTGACCGAAAACAAAACGAATTCAAACAATGTATGAATTTTACCAAAAGTTCCAAGATAAAGATGCTTGTTCCCAGTACCTCTGCCAATCCTAGCTTGCCATCTCCCATGCTGGTGATGTCTGCAGAAAACCAAGATCAGAAAACAAAACCAAAATTAGAACAATATTAACCCTTTTAACCTTCAAATTTGGTGCGTTTAATGCAAAACCGAAAAAACCTTGTCATGCCTCGGTACAGCGAAGACCCTCTTAAAAATCCACTGCTTTTCGTGAAAATCAAAGGAACTGATGAATAAAAAAAGTCGTACCCAGTGCACAAGGCTCCCGCTTTACGCAGGGTCTGGGAGAGGTGAATGTCGGCTAGCCTTACCCCCATTTATGGAGAGACTGCTCCCAAGTCTCGAACCCGAGACCTACCGCTCATAAAAAATTTTAAAACATTAGAAAACAATCTTCTGATTAACAAATCAAAATTGCTTCACAGGTGCGCAACATATTCCTGCCGGCTTATGTTCTTCATCTCTTCAAGTTGTGCAGCGTAAATATCCAACTGCCAAAAGACCAAGAGAATGAAACTTCAGCTACTAAAAAGCTTTCACAAATCGATAAAAACTCCGAGAGCAGAACCCTACCGGAAAGTTTATATGAGTTGAAGAACCCCAGTACTTAAGAGCAGCAAGACCATATGCTCTAGCAGCTTTCTCCTCCATATCATAACCTCCTGCAGTTCAAACGAACAAATGATTAATGCAAATCAACAAATTAGGTGACAATTAAAACTAAAATCCAAATAAAAAATGCCAAAATCTGAAAGGTACCGTTTCCCGAAACTGTAAAACAAAACGCATCAAACATGCACAAAAACGATCCAAGGAAAAACAAAAAATTGAAACCATATACGTTGAGAAGCATGCAATCTGACAAAAAAATCCCAAAATCTGAAAGGTACCACTCCTAATCCTAACCTTAATTCTCAGAACAACCAGATTCCCAACACCAATTGACAATCCAGCCATGAATTTCCAAAACTTTCCCAAATCCCAATCTTCAGCATGCATTAAATCCTATCTAAAACTTAACATGGACTGGATAATGAAGACTCACCCCAAATTGCTATGAAGGTCTGCTGCACACGTGAGGACACGTTCACAAAACCCTTCAATGGCTGAGATTCAACTTTCAAATATGAAGACTTTAAGCCACAATTGTTCTTTCTTAACTTTAGCTACTTCAGCTACATAACCAGAAAAGAAAAAATAATTAATTTCATTATAGTTAACTAATCTGGGTTAAGATTAATAAAAAAGCTTGGAAATTTCAAATCTAAAATCACACCTCAGGCTGCAAGAAGAATCAAAATCATGGAATTTCAAAACCACTCACCTTAAACACAGAGGTCTTCGCAGGATTCAAAGAAAAGTCATAAACTCAAAAAACCCGATCTCCTGAAATTGAAAAACAAAACCAAAGTAACCTTCATCACCTATAATCCGAAGATACAAAAAAAATTCCGAAAATCACAACCAAAAAATTTGAACAAAAAACCCATTTAAAATCCAAATTTACACTCCCAAGCACATAACATTCAAAGCAATGCAGCAAAGACTTGTGCACAAAAAAACCCAGAACTGACCACAAAACGGCAAGACTTCAGACGTGAAGAAGTCGGCGTGCGAAGCGCAGGAGCAAAGGTGAGAAGACGAAGACAACAAAAGTGAAAACGAAAGGCACAGAGCGGAAAAACAAAAGGAAAACCAAAAATAATTTCAGGGAAATTGATAGATAATCAAATTTATTTGAAGAGATGAAGAGGGTAACCTACTTTACTACAATTTACCTCTACCAAGTTAAATGGATTATACTCATCCAGCCATCTTGGCCGCTCTGATGGAGCAATCTTTCTTCAATTAATCTACCTTGGTTGGGCAACTATGACTGAGTTTTGGGTTGCGGATTTAAGATTTGTCTTTCGGGGAAAGGAGGAGGATTCTAGGTTGGGGAAAGCAAGGAGCACGGAGAAAAAGGAGGGTGCCCAACAAAGCAAAACGATTTCTAGGGTTTGATGGAGCCTGCAGCCAGTTGAAGGAGGATTGAAGCGGTGGAAAGAAAGCAACGAAACCGTGAGAGAAGAAAATTAAAAGGGAATGAAACCGTGAGAGCAAGATTGAAGCGGTGGAAAGGATGAACACTGAGTCGGAGAGAGAGGGAAGAAGCAGCGAAAACCCACGCGTCCCATTTTGTTCTCTGCTTGACAGCAAAGCAATAGGGGCAAGCTTGGAATAAAAGAAACTAACCGAGGGCATTTCCGCTTTTTCACTGTTGGTAAACAGTGCTCCTACTCACATGATGAACAGTGATTTTGGAACTGGGCTTTAGTATATATTAAATATCCAGAGGCATAACCACAGGTGTTTTTGGTGACTCGAACGGTTGAAAAAAGTAAAAAAGCGTAGTACTAACGCATGGCAAAAAACAAGAATGACAAATGAGAAAGGTAAAACTGAGATTGCAAGCTTTTGAAGCAAACAAGGAATGCGTGTAATTACACGGTGAATCAGAACAGGGAGAAGATGGAGAGGAACCAGAGGACTGTTGATTTTGCAGAATTGTAGAGAGAGAAAGAGGGGAGAGAGAGGGGGGATTGGGGTTTTAAGTTGTGGTGGTGGTGTTGGGGAAGAAGATGTCAGGCGAGGAATACAGCGATGAGACTCGTCTGCTGCGATCCTCCAGCGACATTATCAAAGACGACAACGCCGGCGTTTCGGCAGAGAAAGACAGCGACTTGGAAGCTCAAGAGGGATTAATAAGCTGCAGGAGAAGCAGTATTAGTCCGACCAGTAGAAGAGGCGGAGTCGGAGGCTTCAAAGATCTGCTGATCAAGCATTTGGACGGCGTAGGGGGGCTTTCCGGCCGCCGTCTCAGTATCAAGCGCGGCCGAGATAATTCCCCAAATCACGGCGGCAGAGAGGTTAGAGGTCAGCTTTCCGCTGTAGATCACCACCACCATCATAACCAGCATCATCAGATTCAGCAGCAGCATCATGAGTCTCCGGCCGGAAGCGACGGTAATGACGAGCTTGCCGATAGTGCCCCACCGGAGTGGGCGTTGCTTCTCCTTGGTTGCCTTCTTGGCCTCGCCACGGGTCTCTTTGTTGCCGCATTTAACAAAGGGGTAAGTTTTCGATCCTTCGGAGCCTCCGATCGTGTAATACCATTAATGTTTTGATGATCCAATTGTTGCCCATCATGACAAAACTTGTAAATTTTGTAAAGTTATACGAAAGATGTGAACTTGTTGCTTAGGTTTTCGATACTAGTTACGGTTCTAAGAATGCTTCAAAACCTCCAATGTTTAATCCCAGTAATGTTTTGGGAGATCCAGTTGTACCCATCATGAAAAAAACTTGTAATTTTTATGAAATTATGCAAAAGATGTGAACTTGTTGCTTAGCTTTTCAGCAGTGTATTTTGTGTTCGATTTGTTACGTTTCTTAGAATGCTTTAAAACCTCCAATGCTTGAATCCATTGATGTTTCGGATATCCAATTGCTACCCATCATGAAAAAGCTTCTAATATTTGTAAATTTATGAAAAGATATGAACTTGCTGCCTAGTTTTACAGCATTGGTTTTTGTGCTTGACACTTATTGCGGTTCTTAGAACGCTGATTCTGCACCATTTCCAACCTCTATTCTCAGTTAGAATGTATTATGTTAGATCAAAAGTTGTTTTTATTTGGAAACAATGTCAACGGTTTTGATGGGCTTGGTTCTTATGGTTGGCAATAAGGTATAAAAATGGTGTGCTTCTCTGCATGGTTTTTGGCTTGTAGAGTCTGTAAAAGTATGTCAGTTTCGGTTAATTCTATTGTTTAGCTTCTAGAATCTGCCCTTTGTGATTAAACTTACAGTGTTTCTAAGTTAAGAAAAAAAGAATGTGTGAACTTGTTGCTTGTTTCTGTGCCAGTGTATGTATGATGCTCGGTGTGATTGAAAATGGTCTACATTTGGAAATGATACCAATAACAGATAAAAGATGGTGCTTCTTGGTATGGTTGTTTAGCTTGTAGTCTATATAACAGTATGTTTGTTTTAGTTTATTCTTTCACGTTGATTGACGCCCTAGTGCTCATCTAGGTACATGTTATACATGAATGGGCCTGGGCTGGTACTCCAAGTGAAGGTGCTGCATGGCTCCGTCTGCAGAGACTGGGCGATACCTGGCATCGAATTCTCCTAATACCGGTCACGGGTGGGGTTATTGTTGGCATGATGCATGGTTTACTTGAAATATTGGACCAGATAAGGCAGTCCAGTTCCTCTCAAAGACAAGGATTTGATTTACTTGCTGCAGTCTTTCCCTCAATAAAGGCTGTCCAAGCAGCTGTCACTTTAGGTACCGGTTGTTCTTTGGGTCCTGAAGGCCCTAGTGTAGATATTGGAAAATCTTGTGCCAATGGATTCTCATTAATGATGGAAAACAACAGAGAAAGGAAGATTGCCCTTGTTGCAGCAGGTGCAGCGGCCGGAATTTCTTCAGGTACTACCTATATTTTCTTGTCCACAATTTGTTTGTATTTGGGTTTTCAGTTTTTCTTTTTTCGTTTCCTTTGTCTACGTGCTTTACGATAGTTTACAGGATCTTTTGTTTTGCAACATCCAGCTGTCTTTGAGATCATGAAATACAAATTATGTTGGTAACGAGTGTGCTATTTATTGATGTTAATCTTGGAATTTGTTTGCAAATTAGAGTAACATTTCTGAGGAACTTTACCTTCGATATGAGATGCACTCATCTTTTTTTCATTCACAGTATGTTCATTTGTGTCCCTTAATCACAAATATGAACAAATTTAGTTTGTACTCCTAGAACAGTGAGGAACTTTATGAATTTCTGTTTTTACCAGTGAACAAGTCTGGTAGTAAACTTTTAGGATTTTTTCTCTTCAGGTTTCAACGCGGCAGTTGCTGGTTGTTTCTTCGCTATTGAAACGGTGTTAAGGCCTCTTCGAGCAGAAAACTCACCTCCATTCACAACTGCAATGATTATTTTGGCTTCTGTTATATCATCTACTGTATCTAATGTTTTACAAGGGACTCAATCAGCGTTTACAGTGCCTACATACGATCTAAAATCTGCTGCTGGTACTTGATATTCTCCTCTCTTTCTTTCTTTTTTCTCAAATTACAATTTTTTTTTTTGTTTTCTTCAATAAATATAATTGGTAATATTAATTAATTATATGTATGTATAATGTATGTATGTGTTTACTATGTTTTCAATTTATTTAGGCATATAGGTATATATACATTATCTGATTTTATGTGCACTCATGTGAAGTGTTCCTCAAACAACTATGGTTAAAGTTGTGTGCTTGAGTGTTTGGTGAGATCCTTGTTGGAACGCTTTTGATCTGTTACTGACTTGATGGTGGGGAACAGTCACATTTCATATGATTTGTACCACATTTTCATTCCATCAGTTCCTTTTTTCTATTAATCAATTGTTCAAAGTGCAACTTGGTATGAAAATTTCCTAGGACATCTAAACTGCTGAATTTCTCTCTTGCATGCAATTTTCAATTTTAAGATAAATGATTTTGATGCATCTGTTCTGAGACTTCTTTTTATATGTTTTGATGTTGCCTTGTAGAACTTCCTCTATACCTGATATTGGGAATGCTATGTGGTGCTGTAAGTGTAGCCTTGACTCGATTGGTTGCTTGGTTCACAAAGTTCTTTGATTTTATCAAGGAAAGATTTGGTCTTCCAGCTGTTGCCTGCCCAGCTTTAGGTGGTTTAGGAGCTGGGATTATTGCTCTTAAGTATCCTGGAATTCTGTACTGGGGTTTTACAAATGTTGAAGAAATTTTGCATACTGGGAATGCTTCAGCTCCTGGAATCTGGCTGTTAACTCAGTTAGCAGCAGCTAAAGTTGTGGACAGCTTTATGCAAGGGTTCTGGGTTGGTAGGTGGCCTATACGCACCAAGCTTGATGATTGGTGCTGCTGTTGGTGCTGTATTTGGGGGTTCGGCTGCAGAACTGATAAACTCAGCGATTCCAGGAAATGCTGCTGTTGCCCAGCCACAGGCTTATGCACTGGTACAGTTCTTTATAAGGGGCTCGTTTTGATTTCTGCAGTGATAAATATATACTTTAGTCCATACGATATGACTGAAATAGTTTTAAACTTTGGTAGGTTGGAATGGCTGCTACACTAGCTTCAGTTTGTTCAGTACCATTGACGTCAGTTCTGCTTCTGTTTGAGCTCACAAAAGATTACCGGATATTGCTCCCTCTCATGGTATTCTTCTGCTGATATAATTTCTTAGTTCTTGTATTTGGTGCACAAGTTTTTAATGCTTTGTGTTAATTTTTTGTTTCGTGCAAGTAGGGGGCTGTTGGATTGGCGATATGGGTGCCCTCTGTGGTAAACCAGGAAAAGGAGACTGAACCATCTGAAACACGGAATTCAGCAAGAGTTTATTCTTATGTTTCGGCTGATGAAGAAAAAGATGAAGCTAATTGGAGACAACATGATGATGGAGATGATTTGGAACTCTCTGTTATTGGAAACAATTCTGACTCCGAATTAGTTAGTGAAGAATTGCTTCTGGAAGATCTAAAGGTTTCACATTTGTTCTTTAAAGTTGTTTATCAAGAGTTATTTTTCTCACTCACTCACATGAACCGGCCCTCGATAAGTAATTTAAATTGTTATCGATTAATTTGATTTTGTTTCATTTTCTTTTGCAACTGCAGCATCTCTATTCATTTTTTGCTTTCATTCTACCTGACTTGCTCACTTGTTTATCCCTCTTATATCAGGTTTCGCGAGCCATGTCAAAGAAATATGTGAAGGTTCCTGTGAGCTTGACTCTGAAAGAGGCAATAAAATGCATGCATGAGAGTCACCAGAATTGTGTGTTGGTGGTTGATGATGAAGATTTTCTGGAGGGAATATTAACATATGGTGATGTTAGACGGTTTCAATCAAAGAAATCTAGCGATGCATCAAAGAGCGAATCTAGGTTTTTGGATGTATGTGATGATGTGCACACGTGTTGTGTCTTCCATAAGTTTCTTAGTTAATCCCTAGTTTCTTTATTTCATAATGTGTTCAACAAACTTCTAATTATATCTGAATTTGGAATCTTTGCAGGCAAATACATGTCTTGTTTCATCTGTTTGTACTCGAGGAATTCGCTATAGAGGAAGAGCGCGTGGTTTATTTACCTGTTATCCGGACACAGATTTAGCAATGGCCAAGGAGCTAATGGAGGCCAAGGATGTAAGGCAGTTGCCTGTGGTTAAGCGTGTCAGAGAACCACCAAAAGAAATAAAGCGAAGAATCGTTGCTATTCTTCATTACGATTCAATCTTGAACTGCCTCAGGTTTTCATTACATTCTCACTTTACGGTTATATGATATGATACCTTGTTTCCTCTCCTATATTAGATGCCTGTGCTTAAACTACACCAACACTAACAACCTTACCCTTCACCTCATATATTCTAATCTGATTGTTCTCTTTTACTTTCCACTCTTTCATCCAAACCGCAAAATACATACCTTAATGGCTGTATTCGAATCCCGCTTCCCCTTTTTTTTCTTTATCTCCGCTTCGGTGTAACCAGAAATGTGAAATTGCCCATTCATTGGTTATAATTTATGCTTGCACTTGACTAAATTTTGATGCCACAATTTGTCTCATCTGGATGATATCGTGTTTATGCAGAGAGGAGATAAATCACAGGAAAACAGTTCAGCATAGAAAAGAGAATCTCCACGAGATTACCAATGGCCTTTAGCTTTAAGTAACAGAGCCGATGCCAGACCTCAGTGTGAGACAGCCAACGTGAAAGAGAAGCTCAAAGCTCCGAGCAAAGTGAGGGAGACCAAAAGTTGATATGTCAGACTGGTTCTTCCTTCGCTTTTGTGGAATTTGGCTTCGGAACGAAGTATGTATTTCCAGTTCCTTCGTTTGAGGCTTGAAATTTTGTACGGGGTATTTTTGATACCACATATTCTTTATATGTAACCTACAACTTTGTTCATTGTAAATGGAGAACACAAACCTTATAAATGAAATTCATAATGCAAGCTAAATGGTTGGATATGGTACTCCTTTTCTTTGGTAAAAGACCAAAATACCCTTGATGCGCAACTGCCGTCAGTTGTTTTTATATAAACTAGCATATGGACACACACAAAGTGAGAAAATTTTTTATTTTTGTTTTTGAAATAGAAGGAGAGTGATAGAGAATGTAGGAGTGGGAAGTTTTTTTTTTAATTTTTTTTTAATTAGAGATATGTTAGGATCAAGGAAGAAAATATCGGTGATATCGGAAATATCGGTAGTCCGAAAACACGGAAATATCGATGGAAATATCGGTAAAATATCGATATCGATAAAAATTACATGGAAACCACGGAAATTGTAAGAAAAACTTGGAAATTTTTATTGAAACTTTGCAGGATGTTTATTTAGTCAATTATCTATTAGTTTATCATAAAAAATTGGAAGGAAATGCATTGCATGATGGATTTAACTGATTTAAGTTGATTATATAGCAAGCTGGCAAACATTGTAAGTGTAGAAAATATGTAGTAATTAATAAAATAAGTTTAAACACACCATAATCATTTATATATAATGAATTAGTACAATATTTTACACTTTATACATTGTATGGTAAGATACATGAGTGACTTAGCATCACATAGAATGAACGCGGTGAGTAGTTCAAAAGTAGATACTTGAAAAGAAATTAATCAAATTTTAGTATGATGTAATTATTTGGACTTGATTTAAAATAGAAATTAATCATATATAATATATGTAACTGAAAAAAAAAATAATCAAATTTTAATATGATGTAATTATTTGGATTTGATTTAAAATAGAAATTTATCATATATAATATATGTAACTGAAAAAAAAATAATCAAATTTTAAATATGATGTAATTATTTGGACTTGATTTAAATAGAAAATTTATCATATAGAATATATGTAACTGAAAAAAAAAATTAATCAAATTTTAATATGATGTAATTATTTGGACTTGATTTCTCTTTATACATATATTTCTTCTTCCTATTTTCTAGTATTTCAGTTTAGTAAGTAATTTTAAAATTTCAGAGACGAAATTCTTTTAAGAGGGGTAGATTGTTACACCCACCCCCAATTTAAATTGTATTTTCATTTATCTTACTTTTAAAATTATTTTTGATCTTAATAGGTGTGCCCAGGGCCCACCTTGCTTTTGTGTCACCGTCTCTCTTTTTCTCTCAGATATCTCTTTTCCCTCACTCTCTCATCTCTACCGTGCTCTCTCTCTCTGCCTCTCTCTGCACACTCTCTGCACTCTCTCCTTCTCCCCGTGAACCAACCCACACGCCACACCCTCACTTTCACACCACTTAAACGGCGACACCCCTCATCGCTCTCTGCACTCTCTCCTTCTCCCCCCCGTGAACAACCCTCATTCTCCCTCTTCGCCCTCTCTGCACTCTCTGCACTCTCTGCACTCTCTCCTTCTCCCCGTGAACAACCCACACCCTCACTTCCACACCACATCAACGGCGACACCACCTCATCGCCATCTCCGTCTCTACGTCTCTGTCTCTGCCTCGGTCTCTCCGTCTCCGTCTCTCCCTCGGTCTCTCCGTCTCCATCTCTACCTCGGTCTCTCCGTCTCCGTCTCTGCCTCGGTCTCTCCGTCTCCGTCTCTCCCTCGGTCTCTCCGTCTTCGTCTCTCCCGCGATCTGGATCCTTCTTCTTCGATCTGGTTTCTGGATCCTTCTTCTTCGATCGGGTTTCTGGATCCATCTTCTTCGATCTCTCTTCTCCCAAACACACACACACACACAGATCGCCGTTGATCGTGGCTCAGGCGAAGTCAGAGGTGCGCCGCGGAGCAAGGATCGTTCGTATTCCGCTTCGTCAGGTGAGATTCCATGAAACCCTAAACCCTAATCTCTCCGACTTCACCTTGCCTTGAATCGTTTGTATATTTGTGAAATCTGATGTATATTTGTGAAATTAATGTTAAGATTTGTGTTTTTGCAAGGTTTTTGGGACGAAACCGGCCCGGGAATCGCCCCACGGTCTCCGGCGTTCTTCTCCGACGTCGCCTCGGATTCCGATTCCACCTTCCATGGATATTTCGCCGATAATTTCCAAATATCGCGATATTATCGATAATATCGCGATATTTGGCCGAAAACCCCACGGAAACCAGTTAAAATATCGCCGACCGGAAAAATCGATATTATCGGCGAAATATCGCCGATAATATCGATATTTAAATCTGTGGTTAGGATTACATGTAGGTGATGTTTTGAAAAAAAAACAGCAAAATTTGGTTGTGTGAAATTACATTTCTACCCCATAGTTCTAATTCATGTTCTGTTTTAATTAGAGGGTTAAACTGATAATTTCATAAGGTTTTGATTGACAATGAGTATTTTATTAATTAGTAGAGATAACGCTTTTCTCAAAAATGATTTTTCTTCATTTTGTTGAAAGACGCCTCAAGTTTGAAATAGAAGGAGAGTGATAGAGAATGTAGGAGTGAGAAGTTTTTTTTTAATTTTTTTTTAATTAGAGATATGTTAGGAATACATGTAGATGAGGTCTTGAAGAAAAAAAAAAGGAAAATTTAGTTGTGTGAAATTACATTTCTATCCCATAGTTCTAATTCATGTTCTGTTTTAATTAGAAGGTTAAACTGCTAATTTAATAAGGTTTTAATTGACAATGAGTATTTTATTAATTAGTAGAGATAACGCTTTCTCGAAAATGATTTTTCTTCATTTTGTTGAAAGACGCCTCAAGTTTGAAACAATCCACGATACCTACGAATGCTTAATACTATCACCATGTTATGACTAGATAGGCTGTAATAACGTGTAAAGAGTGCATATGATTGTTTGAGGAGGATAATACAAAGTACTTGTAAAGTTGTAAGTAGTGTTCCTAATAGTTGTGTTGTGCACAATATAACTCTAGTGCCCTTGCCCACCTTTTGCAAGGGCACCATCGTCACACTTGTGAGATTAGGAGGCTTCTTAAAGACTTGATAGGGAAATTTTGTGGTCTCAAATTCAAAAGGAAATTACCCAAAACCAAAAGAAAGTAATAAACAAAATATCTATAGTCTTGTGGTACTTCTCTTTCCAGAGCTAAAACGATCCTGAGTTCGAATTACCCTATCCCGATTGATCAAAAACGAAAATGATAAATAAATGAGTCGAGCTAAAACGGATCATAACCAACATTATATATATGTGTATATGAATATAGAGAAAATTAAAGACTTCTTTCCTCAAAAGATTAGAGAGTAAAACAAAAGGGGAAATTCTACATCTGTGGTCCAAGAGGAAGCCTACTCATAAGCTGTTGGTATACTGATGAGCCATTGGACATGATTAGTCCTGGTTCTGACATTGGCTCCACTTTTGGTTCTCCTTTCGGTAACATGAATGCCATTTCATTGACCTGATGGCGCTGTTGTGCAAAGTAAGGATGGTGAGAAGGCAGAACCGAGAGTTTCGGTTGGCCAGGACCTAACCCGGCCATTGACAGATTGGCGAAGCCAGGCTGGTTCATCCCGAAAGAGAAAGCGTGGGACGGGCCCATCTGCTGCCTTCCAGGTAGGTTGAATGAACCCATTGATGATGGCCTTTCGAATCTCCCCATGCCGTTGTGAACTTGTGGCTCTGGCCTGTGTGGGTGGGTTTGGATAGTGGAAGCTTGGCCAGGCATGTTGCTGGAAGGGCCGGAATTGACATGGCTACTGTTTCGAGCAGCGGGAACATCATGATTGTGCTTTCCCTCGTAGGTGGTGATCACGGACTTGAGGTCATGGGATGCTCTCTCCACATGCTTTCTCACAGTGCAGCCAGCATTTGTGCACTTGTAGTAACTCCTGCATAAACAAAAAAACAAAAAAAAGGAATTTTGTTTCATCCTCAGGCATGGTAACACAGAACAAACAAAGAAGAATTCAACCGTGATAACAAGGAACAAACCTTGGATTCGGATTTCCTTTCACAACCTTCTGCCCGTACTTGCGCCAACGATATCCATCATCAAGGATGTCTACTTCACTGGTTGTCTGGACCACGACTCTAGGCTCGCGAATGGCTCTGGTAGCTCCACTCATTTCCGTTGCATAGGCTTCAATTTTCCTGAAACATCATAAATGCAAAGATACTTTTATGGTGACCCCAATGTCTGATACCTTAGATCGTTCACCAAAAGCTAGAAAGAGGTGAGCAGTAACCTTCTTTTCGATTCAGATTCATCTCCTTCACCATCATAGGCCAATGAAACGCTGCCATGTGTCCCCCGATCATCTTCCTCTTCATCATTAGAAAAGGTAGATGATGCGTCCACCACATCACCTGATTTGTGGTGCGTACCATTCTGCGCCTGCATAGAGGATTGGTTGCAGTAGTCAGGGCCCACGGATGCTGACGAAGTCACCTCAAGGTTGTCATGCTTCCAATCGGGACCTCCAACATTCCCCTTTTGTGTATTTGCCCAAATTGAATCACCATCAGCACCACCTTGTTCGGGGATGTCTGTTCGCATGTCAACAAGTGGGTTGGATGATCCCATGGCAGCTGATCGACGATTGGGAGGAGGTTTAGGGTGGTTATGGGCCCCTTTGTAGATGATCTCTGTTACATGACCCTCTTGAGATCGTTCAACCTTTTTCTTAACCTGACAATTTGGATGTGTGCACTTGTAATAACTCCGTGGATACTCACTACCTTTTACTTGTTTCTGTCCATATTTTCTCCAATTATATCCATCTTCAGACGCTGCACCACCACCACCAGCCGCCATGGAATCACCACTGCCTCTTTCTTCGTCTGGTTGCTCATCAAGGGGTGGAGAATGTTCAGTACTGCCACCCACCGTATCGAAAGCCCTAGGGTCTGCAGAGATAGTGTAAGCTCCATTGTCTTTTTCAGTAGACGTGTGAGAGAAGTCTGCCTGGTGCTGAAGATTGTTTGTATTCTGGTTTTGAACTTTGGTTGGTTCTATACTTTGAGAAGAATTTTCGGACTGGACTGAAACCTCCATGCTGGGAAAGGATTGCTGCTGAAAAGTACCCGAACCCATCTGTATATGGCAGAAAATTGCTTATTAACTCATGAGGGAGACGATGAAGAACATAATGCAATTTTGTCTTAAACAGAATACACTAGGACTCTCCAATAAACACATAAAATAACTCGCATGTGTGCATGCACGAATACTTGTGTCTTTTAAATTGGGGATAAGAATCGAGAGTAAAATTACTTTTCCGGTCAGACCGAGAAAGAAGGAGCCTGATTCCGCAACAGGCTTGAAAGCGAAGGAAGCATTTATGTCCTCAAAGAAATTATTTTTGTCAGGGCTCTCTGGCATTAATGTGGAACTCCTGCCATGGCCATTTGAGGCAAATGGAAATTTTCCGGTTGTTGGAGATGGCTGTGCCTGCAATGAAATCCAGAAGAAAAAAAAAATTCAACATACATTGGGATGAGCGTCGAGAAGACTAAAACTTATTTTTACATTTAATTACAATTGGAAGAAAACTTTAGAGTAAGGTAGAGATACTAGCAAATTATCTCTCTAATAACTTCCATCTACACGCCCTATTTTAAAGGAAAGGAACCCCGAAGTCAAACCACTTGATACGATGCGTTACAAGATTATGAAGTTCAACTTTTACACTATTTCTGTACACATGTAAATCATAAACTATCTTATAATTCAAAATTGGACCCAAAAAAAGCAAATATTGGTTTTACGACATTTGTCCGTGTTCTTACCATCTCATAAACAAATAATATTTCGACAGTTCAATATGCATGCCTAGAACTTCAAATCAATTTTCCGTTTTAGCCCATTAGATGCCGAGGACTTGACCAACTAAACTACAATTAAGCACTCAGATATTTCCAAAGTTGCATCTTACCAATGAATTTGAAAGGAAAACAGGAGAATCTAGCAGTGTGGTTGGACTGAGACCAGGAGGTATTGTCAGATAAGGAGACCGAATGTCAGAAGTATGTGAAAGATCAGAAGATCTAATGCTTTCAGTATTCAGCCGCGGAGCATTAAACCCAGCTCTGGCTGCAATCCTTTCCACAAGCCCTCCGCGTGAGTTTGACTTATACTCCGGAAATGAGCCCACTTCAGTTATATCCTCACCAGAAACATTGCCTTGTGACCAATTTTTTCCGTTGTTATCTCCTTCTCGAGCTCCCAGGAAGAAATCCTCTGTTCTATTGTTGTTGTGAGGTTCCAAGATTGATCTTGAACCAATGTCGTCAACTAACATTGACGAGAAGAAGGCTCTTGGGCTTGGACTTGGAGGCACCCAATCTCCAATTATGGCAATGTTATCATCAATGCCGGCCATCTAGCTTAAGCCGGTTCACTATTATCAGGACACAATAGGGACCACTAACAATCAAGGCGTTGCACCAAGATCTAACTCCTGAAAGCTTAGCAGTGAATGCACAAGAAAGGAAATCCATTTCAGAGCTACATAATACATAAATAGCAGATGACCAATTTTCTTGGGAAAATTCGTTATATCATAAATGCACATTGTTACATGAAGTTCTGTTAGCTTGCACAGAAATATCAGAGGAAAGAAAAAAGCTTCGAGTTTTAGCTTTTTAAACCATACAGCCATCTTGTTTGGTTAAAAAAAGCACCAAATTTTTTTTTTTTTTTTTTTGGAGGTGGTGGAGGGACCAGAGAGGAAATCTAACAACCTGAAAACACAAACCAAGTTCCTTAAAAAACCAATAATTAAACATACAACCTTGTTTTGTTTTTACTTTTAATCAGCTGGGTGTTCCCAGAAGCAAAATCGAAGAAACAAGTCCCCCGGGCTTCATATCAATTAAGATGTCATCACAAATAATTATCATTATAGTTATGATTGGAAGACATTAACACAATATTTTTGTTATGATTGGATGATTTTTCAAAAGAAAAAGGAAAGAAATTTGGACAACCATATCCATAAAATTTCCAATCCAGAGTGCAGGTTCAGGTTGTAGCAGAACAAAAACGTTACAAAGTTACAAGCATACATTTCAAATTTGAAGAATTATGAATACAACCAGTTTGCTAGATCCTGAAATCCATTGAAGATCTACGCTTCAGAACACTGAAAACTAAGCAACCCAGGTTGCAGAATTCAGAGAAAAAATGGAAAAAGGTAGTGAATTTTGGTAAATTGTGATGAAGCAAAACAAACCCATGTTGCAGAATTCAGAGAAAAAGGGAAAAAAAAGATATGAATTATGGTAATTTTTGATGAAGCAAAACAAACCCATGTTACAATATTCAGAGATATATGGGGTCATTATTAATATCATTACCATTATTGATAGAGAACATAAAAAAGGTGAGGTACCTTATGTTTGCAGGGAAGGCATTGATGTCAGAGATACATTAAGAATTTCTCAAAATTAAGAGACACAACACAGAAACAGTAATAAAAAGCAAACTGGCTGTGGAAGGAGAGAGAGAGATAGAGAGAGAATGATTAAAGATGATTACCTGAGTGATTAAGAGTCAAGGCCCAGATGATGTTGAATAAGAGACCAAAGACCAAAAACTCCTCCTTTGACCACCACCACCACTACCCACTAACCTCCCAACCACCCCTACCCCTCCAAACCCAAAATCTGTCAAAAATCCTTCCTTTCTCTTCAATTCAGAAGAAACCCAGAAAGCAAAACTCAATTCCAAAAAACACCAAAACAACAACCCTTCTTCCTTCCCTATCAAAAATCCTCAAAGCTTCTATCTTTACCTCTCTCTGGGCTACCCCAAATTGCTATAGATATTGATATGATGATGTTCTTTGACAAAATTACAAAAAGCAAAACCAATACTTTATTGTTTTAATTTTTCACATTAAAAAAAGGAGGGATTTAAAAAAAAGGAGATGGGGGTGAAGTTTTTGCAATGGTGGTGGACCAGAAAATGGATGGAATCTTTGAAGAAAGAGAGAGAAAACAACAACAGCAAAAAAAAAAAGTGAACACCACAATCAACAGACACAGAGAAAAAGAAGCTCAAAATCTCAAACCTTTTTTTTTTAATTTTAATTTTTACATTTACAATATAATTTTTTTGACCTTTTGGTTCTCCTTGTTTTACTGTTCTGGTTTTTAAAGATACCTAATTAGCCTGTTTATTATTCTCTTTTTTGTACTGGTACTCCCCAAGGACCTCTTTGTCCCCTTGCAACTGTCCAATCACAGGCTGCCACCTGGAATTTGTCACGACATGCAAGGGCATTTTCGTCCTGTTAAAAAATTCATGATTAGAGCATGATGGAAGTAGGGTTAGAGTTGGTGGCAGGCGATTGCAGCCTGCTGGTAATTATTGGGGATTTTATTTATTTATTTTTATTTATTTTAGTTAAAAATTAATTATTAGAAAATATGTGTAACGCTGGGGTGTCCAGAGTGTTTAGCTGCCTAACACCTGTTTAAGTATCCTTCAAATGTGAAAGGATGTTGTAACTGCCTGTTGCAGATTTGCACTTCAGCTTTTTTCGTAGTAATTAATGTATAATTAATATATTATTGCTATAATTAATAATATAATTATCATTACCTGCTAATATTAGCTTCAATATAAACCAAAAGTAAAAGCATCATGGTTATAACTTATACGTTCAACATAGGTTTTTTTTTGTCACTCGCTATTTTTTTGTCACTCGCTGTGTTAATATAAGACATTTATGTTGTCGGCCTATAAATTTACACATTAACCAATATTCTTAAAACAAGTTTAGGAGGTTTATTCAATCTAGAATACAAGCATGGTTTTATGTCGAATATGCATAAGCATATTCGTTTGTCGCACTCAACTCTAGTTAACATAAATGATCTTGCAAGAGATTTTGATGTTTAATTCAATTTGTAAGCATGATTACATGTCGAATATAGGCATCTTCTCTCATTACACTTGTGTTTTTAGATTATGAATCTAAACCGCAATATGATGGAGATTGTCTTACTTAGAGAGATTTATTACAACTATGAGCACAAAACTTGTGTTTATTGGACCACGAGACCACAAGACAAGGTTTGATGTTTATTAAACAAGATAGAAATGTAAGACAAGCAGTTAAAAGACAATTGCATAGGGATGGTCGGAGCTCTCAAGGATGAAGAATGGTAAATAACATTTGACCCCCAACCCTATCTAACTTTTTGAGAACTAATCAACAACTTACGCAATATAAGTAAAACTGGTAAACGAGTTTTGTTTATCGTGTTCATGTCATATTTGTTGTCTTAACAGTCATATCGTGTCAAATTAGTTATCTTAACGGATCGTGTTGTGTTCAACGTGTTATTCTAACGAGTCGAGTCATGTTAAACCCATTATCTTAACGGGTTCTTAATAAGTTACCAAATAACGACCCGATTCTTAACGAGTCGCGGCGTTTTGTATCGAGTTAACTGGGTCATGTAAGAAATTACCATGTCTAATGTATACATTAATATCAAGTTCTTAATCCTGACTCGTTAACGGATGATCCGATAACGATCCGACTCGTTAACAGGTTTTTAACGAACCCGATGACAAGCCAACTCGTTAATAGATGACCTGAAACTTGTTATTTTTGTGTCGTTTTATGTAGAGTTAATAGGTCGTGCAAAAAAAAAAAAAAAATATATATATATATATATATACACACACACATAGGGGCTTTTAGATCGAGGTCCAAAAATATAGATGGTTTTTAGGAGTGAGTCCAGTTATCTAATTATATGTTTTTATTTCTTTTATACTCATTTTATATTTTTTTAAATATTAAAAATCAATTAAAATCTTCTAATATTATGCATTTTTCAACTCCAAAAAATCTAATTAATATCTTATAACAAAAATAAAAACTAATATACTAACATAAAAATAATTAACATAAAAATAATTAACATGTGATATAGGTTGATTATAAAAATTAAAAATAAAATCTGTAAATGGGGTTTAAAGCATGAGGAAGAACAAGAAATAACAAAAATAAATAAAAAGAAATAATCAAAGAGATAATTAGGAAGAAATTTGACTTGTATAATAAATCTTATCATTGAATAGATAATTATTGATAACAAAATAATTAAATTTAAGGAATTGGACTTATTTTAATAAATTGGACTATTTCTACTATTGGCTAAAAAAATTGAACTTATATCAAATTTTCCTTTTTTTTATTGAAATGAAATATAAGACCTTTAAGCTAACTTATAGTATTTTCAGGCCAAAAAGGACAAGTTTAGAGTTTTTTTCAAATATACAATTTACTCCTCACATGCTTAGGCAATACATATCCATTATAAAATAAGTAGAAACTTAAAACAAAAACCAGATTTTCACTCTCAATACTTTAATAATCCCAACAATAATTTGGTTGTGAACCAAGGCAAAACAATGAAATAATAAACAGTTGGAATTATCAATGACATATTATCTTTTTGTTAACAAAGGAGGGAATGGAATATTAAGTCTATTCGGCTATCGTTTTTTTTTTTTTTTTTAAGTTAAAGTTTCTATTATACTCTAAAATTTAACGGAAAAAAGGGCGTTAGTGAAAATGAGAAATAGTGCAACACATTGCTAAGATTAAGTTAAACTATGGGTAAAGTTCATAAATCATTGTTATAATTAAGCCAATCTATTTTAATTATAATATTCACTCATGACTTTATCATCCCTCGCCAATCGATGAATCATAAGAACTTTAGCTTTTAAGTGATATTGCTAAGAATATTTTGGCAATAAAATTTTAACTAATTGATTACTTAAGTGGGAGTGAGGGGGGGGGGGAGGGGGGACATAGACCAATATATCAAGTGTCGTAATACAATTGATCGATTTTTTTGTTTAAGTTTTCAATCAATTGTATTATGATATTTGGTATACTGAGTCGTATTTCCAGCATATTGAATAATCTCTTGACATGTGGATTGGAAATGTCTAAGCACACAGGAAATAGTGGTGAAAAGGTTGGGACCAATATTTAGGGTTGGATTCTATCTACAAAAATAATGATTGGTTTATAACTAAGTATTGTTGCTAATTTGATTCTAATTTTTGTTGTGCTTATATAGAATAATGATATATTATGAAGAATCTAATTCTAAATCTAATCTGACCATGCAATTTGTTATGTGTTCAATATTTAAGGTACGGTTTTTGAGTTGTCCACTTTGCACAAAGTTATTCCAATCACTATAGTTTAATCATTTCACTAATACTCATGACTCATGATTGTTCAAAAGACTATGGGGAATTACAAAAGAAAATACCAAAAGCTTAATAAACAACAAAAGTAGCAAGGCCATACCATCAAATCCATTAAAAAAATTTCTCTAAATCCACACATCTCAAATGAAATATGAATAGTGGATCATATTTTGCACGATTATCTCACCAAAATCATGAATAAAATCTTACGCGTTTTCCTTTTCTCAAATAATGAAATAATACGAGGTTTGATCTGGTTTGATTTGGTTCGGTTCGGTTCTGTTATAAAATATACATCAAATTAACAATTATCAGTTATTTACAATTTAGAGCTGATTGTTTGTTTCATACTCTTTTGCCTATTATACAAAATCAAATGAGAGAGAATTTGAACCATGTGAACTAATGCAAGATTAAAATAAAAAGTAATATGGGAAGAAAGTTGAAATTTCATCATAAAATCAATTAGCAATATGAAGAGTAGTTTAATATCTTCTAAGCCTTTGCAAGGTTTCTCCTTTCACTGATGTGAGACTTTGTTACTTTACATCCTCACACGCTCACTCACGTGTAAATTTTTTCAAGCCAATTACGTTGACAACACAAATTGAGTGACGTTGAGCACGTGTGACTGTTGGGCTCACATGATGTGAGACTCTTTCACCTTCACTTCCTCAAACGCCCCCTCACGTGTAACGAATTTTCAAGTCAAACACGTAAACAACACAAATTGAGTGACGTGAAACACATATGGCCGTTGAGCTTCATACATGGGTATAGAGGTGGCAAATCAATCAATTGAGTTGTTAATGGGTACCCGTTAAGTCTCGTTTAATTTGATATCACCATTATATAAAGGTGAGATTGGTAGTGGTGATAATAGTGTAAGGTGAAATCAAACTAAATGGGTCTTAATGGGTACCCGTTAATAACTCAATAAGTTGATTTGCATCACTACGTGGCCCAACCTGCTTTGATACTATGAAGAAAATTAAGATTTTACTATAAGACCAATTGACAATATGAGAAGTAATCCAATCTTTTATAAATCCTTGCAAAAAATTTCTTTCGCGGATGTGTTACCCATACATCGACCCTCACAATTAATGATAAGTAGATATGAGAAAATATGATTGAGCCAAAAATTGGCACCAATGGGTCTTAAGAGGAGATTTGGATATATTTTGTTGGGATGTGGTAAGCATATGCCAAATGGAAGGATGAGAATTGACCCCAAACCTCCAACAAGACATGCAACACAAAATTGCCAACACAACACGTAAAGAAAATTTAGAAAATTGAGTCTTACAAAAAACAATACATCAATTTTTAAATAGCTAACAAACAGCACCTTGTCGATCCTCATCCTCCTCCAATCTTCCTCCCCTTCATGTGACAACATACAGTATATTTATTTATTTACAAACAAAATTAAATATGTTACATAAAACTTTAAGGACGTGTCCCTATTTTCCCATTTCTACTGAGTCAAAAAGATACTTTGACTGAGTCCCTTTCTCATCAAACTCTCTCTCTCTCTCTCTCTATCTCTCTCTCTCATCACACTGCAGTTACCAATGTTTTTATTTCGACATCAAACTCTCTTTAGTCCTCCCATGTGGCTTCTCATGGCAACTCCCTCTATCTCGTCATACTCTGACTCAGTATTTTTTCTCATTTCAACTGTTTGCAGATACACAACCAGATTATGAATTATGTTAGGTCTCTTAATGTATCAACGGTCCAAGAGATATATATATATATTTTTAT